TTTAATGCATCTGCTGTGTATCCTGCTCTGTCTGCTCTTTGTCTCCTCCTCCTCCTTTGCCTCTGCCGATCTGTATGATACTGTGCAACATACCCGATCGCTAGACTACCTGGGCGAGGAAAGCAAGCCAGGTTTTTTTACCAAGCGAATCGTTTAAAGATACGGTATCGTAAATTTCTGATATGATACCAGAAGAAGGAAAAAAGAAGAAAAAAAGAAAAAAAACTACAGTGAGGTATCTTGTATTCGAAAAACAATTCGTGAGGTAATTCTAAAATATTGTACCAGTTCTTGTGTTACCGTCGCACAATACTTGTACTTGTACTTGTCCCAGGCAAGAAGTATCCGGAAACAGGGGGGTACCTTGCCATGGGCTGCAGGGGGGGGTAAAGTATGCCAAGAGCCCTGTGGAACAAGCACCCGGGGGGAGAAAAAAGTAAAGTAGATAGTAAATAAGTAATAATATTATTATATAAAACTAAATTTGATAGATATCCGAGCAGTGTATAGGAACAAGAGCCTTAAAAATATAATAGCACTCAATATACAATACATATTAAACATTATATACAATGAATTAAGCACTAGATACCAAATTATAAAAAAAAGTACAGAAAGAAGCGAGCCTACCAGCGAGTATGTCCCCCATTAGCTCTGATAACTGCCTGAATACGTTCCGGTATTGTATCAATAAAAGCCAGAAGTTCGTACTCAGGAATTTGATCCCAAGCCTCCCGAACAGCAGTCGCCATCTCCTCCTTTCCCCGAATGCGAGGACGCCGAGCATCCAGTATATCCTTGAGAAGGTTCCACACATTCTCAATTGGATTTAAGTCTGGCGAGGCAGGGGGCCACTCAAGCTTAGGCATGGCATATTCTGCCTGCAGAGCTTGGGTATATCTTGCTCGATGAGCAGAGGCCCCATCCTCCATAAGCCAAATCCTCCGCTGTGTTCTCTCGCTCTTCCTACACCAGAACGGCCAAAGAACCGGTGTTAAAACATTGGCACAATAACTATTTGCAGTTATTGTGCCCCAATCATCCCTCTGCCAAAGCACCAATGGTGCTTTGATAGACCCCAATATCCCCCCCCAAATCATAATCGCGTCCCGCTGCTTGAAGGTAGGAGAGATACAAGCTTCCTCGTACTCTTCTCCAGCACAGCGGGTAACCCAAACATTACCCCGAGTACCCGAGAGCCACACGTAACATTCGTCTGTCCATAGGACATGCCGCCAGTCTTCCACCGTCCAGCCCTGATGGGCAAGCGCAAACCGGAGTCGCTTTTCCTTCTGCTCTGGTTTCAGGAATGGCTTCTTGTGTGCTTTTCGTCGGTAGTAGCCCTCAAGGGCAAATGCTTTGCGAAGGGTCTTCTCAGAAGCCCTTACTCCACAGATATCCGCTATATCTGTATAAGTCATCCGGCGATGTTCGGCATCTCTTGTAGCGGTGGTAACAAGAACTTTCCGGGTGGCCGGATCGATAGAAAAAGGTCTCCCGCTTCTTTTTTGCGGGGTTGGAGGGGCCTGACAGATATCCCATACAGTGCTTTTAGGGATATTTTGACTCTCGGCGATTCGCTCATAAGTCCACCCAGCCTCCAATCGCAAGGCATGGATAAAGCACCGCTGCTTGTAGGAGGTCTCATACCCCTTTAATGGCAGCATATCCTACATTAACAATTAGTATTAGATTGAATACTATAATAAACCCTTGACCTTACCACTGTTTGGCCTTTTTTCTCTTCTTTCCCTTTTTTTTTTTTTTTTGCACTTCAAATTCCCTCGAACCAAACAAAAACCTAGGAAATGTACTGACAGTCTCTATTCTGACCGTTCAGGGGGGGTTGAATCCCCTTTTTGTTTACATACACGGACCTCCTGCCCTGCCATGCCCTCCCTGCGGCCTGTGACAAGGTACCCCCCTGTTTCCGGATACTTCTTGCCTGGGACAAGTATAATAGTAGTGTACAGTCCAAGTACCGAACGATGAACAACGCCCGCTACCCACTCCAAAGTCGACAATCCCCCGCACGGTACCATATCATACGGTACCATACCCAATACCAAAACACAAATCCAAGAAACCCCGAGTGATTTCCGGTGAGGACAGGGCTCAACACATCCGACCCGATGGAACCTGTCATAATTGTGGTATGATAGGCCGGATAGGATAAGGTGAACTACAATGCCGGTAATGCATCATATCATCCGCACAGGAACAAGCCCTAGCGGCCCTAGCCGTGCGACGCATTGTAACTTACTATATAATACAGTGTCATAAGTTTATCATACCTGGTCGGGCCTTCCCTCCCCACCAACCCGTGGGTACGCTAGAAGTGGGCACAAGTACAGTACTCCCTCGGGACACCCCTGCATGAAGGGATGAAGGCTCCAAGTTCCTCCTGTATTACTTAAGGATAGGTGGGAGGCGAGGTATCATATAACGCAAAAAATGAGATTTTCCTCGAGCTGGTTTATTGGTACTCACTGTGCCCTGAATTGTATAATTATGGTGGTAGGTAGGGGCCAGTGACCTAAGGGTCAAGCACAACAACAAACACTCTCGTAGTGAACGGAAAGCTCCGAGGCCTTCCTCTTGACACCGCAGAGTTAGACTGATACGATACATAGCCTAAACTATCAACCTCCCGTGCACCTGCCAAGCACGTGCCATGCCCAGCCAGAAGCTTGTGGGGTCCCTGCATTGGCATAGTATGCTTTAGTGCCTTATGAGGTTGTGTGGTGCTGGATGTGGTAGATTTGTGCAACGGGAGGAGATGGAAGACTTCTGATCGGAGGGATTGTGCTCGTCTGGGGACTGGATCAAGGGGTACGGGGGTGTTGGACTTAGGCTCCCCCATGAAAGCGGCAGGGTGGCAATTTGAGTAAATGGGGCTAGTTGGATAGCTGGCTGAAGAGAAAGGAACAGGGAGGGAAAAGAGGAGAGAGGGGACAAAGAGAAAGAAATAGAGAATGTGTGTAATACGGGGGGGATGCCACAGGGCGCCGAAGGGGAGGCTTCCGGTGGAGATTTGAGCTTATGACGGGCAGCGGACCGACGGCGCTCGAGTAGTACGGTTCCTCGGAGGCAGAGAGCGTATATATGTGTTATTCCGTGCTCCTACTGATCTCGAATGGAATATACAGTAGCAGGAAAGAGTACGAATATCGCCCCTCTCCTACCCCACTCTCTTCTTCTATCCCTTCCAGCACACTAATTATGAATAAATAGACCGCCACAGAGACCAAAGTTGTAACAGGCGGAAACTGCCAAACAACCTACAACACTTTCGGCAACAAAGTCGCCCTCCTCAATATTCAGGCTACCCCCGTAGAACCGGTCACCCCGATGTGCCCACTTGGCACGAAGGACGATCACCTTTGGAGCGCCAAAGCCTGGTTTGGTGTATGCCGGGCCTTGTGGGCATTAAGTGCGGGTTTGTTTTTCGCTCAAATGGGGGAGGAAAGGGCTTGTATAGCCGTGCCAACAAGTGCCCGAGCCCGTCCTCATCACGACAGCTAAAGGGAAAAATAACTGTCCGTATAAGGTTTCTTTTTCCTCTCAAATGCTTTTTCCATATCTCTATCCTCTTCCGAGTCTGGTCCCGTTTAGGACTAGCATATGCTGTTCTTTTGGATCTTTGTTTCCCTTGATTCTTTACTGCGAGTGTTGGGGGATCCAGGCGGTGATAGCAGGGCTGAAGCACTTCGCTATACTAGTATAGCTGAACTACATCCTTCTTGTAGTTTGAATGGCATCGGTTTTCTCTAATTCAAAAACAATCTTAACTTCTCCGTCCAAAGCCATTGCGTATCGCTACAATAACCGGTTACAAAATCCGAGTGACAACCGATGACCCATTGTGGGTCCGTGCAGCCATGAGCCTCTGTTGCGACAGCCGAAGTGTCCATGCGCGTGCCAGGCAGCACCTGCAGCGATATCCGGGGGTGTCCCCCCCTTTCTTTTTTTCCCTCTCTTCCCTTTCTTTTCCTCCTTGTTCTACCGTATCATAAGGCATCATAGTTGCTGTTACCCGGGCAGGGGAACGCAGGGCATGGCAGAGCTTTGGGGGTTCCCGGGCCGATGAGCACGAGAAGTGGATGGACTTTGATTGGTTGAGAACGGGGTTGAAAAGAAAAGAAATTTTAATAAACGGGGGCAGGGTAAGGGTAAGGGTAGGGTCACCGTGCCCGGGCCCTGGGGGAGGGGGGCATGATACTCGTACAAGTACTGTGCGAGTACCGGCATGACATGATGATACCTGGTGGGGTTTGTTTTAGTTCGATACGATGTGATGTGATATAGCGTTGCAGGTGTGATATTATTATGATACCCGGTGTGGGGGAATAGGCTGCCGGTGCGGTGAGGCAGCGGTGCCCTACAGTAAGGCAGGACGGGATTATTGTTTATTTGTTTATTTGTTTATTTATTGACGTTTGGTTTTGTGTACGCACAGTGCGAGCGGTGGTGGTGGTGGGGTGTGTTTTGAATGGTGTTGATGAGATGAGATGGCATGTGATGGTGGGTGGATGAAGTGAGAGTGATGAGGAGGGGGCCCTCTTATCATCCTAATCGGAGCTTAACTTGATGTTTTGTATGGTACGGTATGAGGAGCTGCCACAATTCTGTGCCCTTAGGTAAGCATATCTTTGGCCTTGAGATTTTACTTGAATTGAGGCCGGCGTGCCAAGACTTTGTTGAGGCTCGATAGCCATAAAGCCGGGCACCTTTCCACTTGAAAACAAAGGTACCAGTGATCTGAAGGGAAGGGCAGATGCTCTATCAATAAACGGCTTCCTGCTTCTGGTAGCCCTCGTCATGTCTGATGCCCTGACAACTCCAATAGGGAAACCTCCACCAACTAACGAATGAGCTCTATGTTACCACAACTACAGGTACTGCCCCCCCCCCCTAACCTGAACAACCCCATTCTCCCCCGCCTACGACAGAGCTCCCCTTTCTCTTCTCCCCCCCCCCCCCTCCTCTCCCCGCCAACCACGGTCAACGAATCAGCCAACCGGCGGACCACCGCCTTCGAACTTCCTTCTCGACAAATAAATCCAACCAATAAATCACCACCCTACCCTCCTGAACACCGCAACGCAAAGGGGGAGCTCCAACTTCGTCATCACTCCTCCTCACCCATCCTGTCAATCGATACAATTGACTGACCCCGTCTCCACCAAATAATCTCCGCTGCGGGAACGCGTTTTCAATGGAGGACCTGCAACAGCGCCACCGGCGCCCCGCCGTCACGTACGGTAAATCAATCAAGAAGCGGTTCCCGGACGCCCCTGGAATCTTCACCACTCCGGACCGTGCTTCAAAATCACCTGAGGTCTCGAATGAAGCACAACAAAACAAAGTAACAGCAGCAGCAGCGGCGGCGGCGACAACAACCTCAAAAATAACAACGGCAACTAGAGCTACAACGACGGCAATCATTCCTTTGTCACCGGCTGCACCCGTCAGGGTGATGGAAGCCCAACAACAGCGGGAGATGGAGAAGGAGAAAGCAAAGGGATCGATTCTGGCTCGCAACCCGGTACAGCAGGAGCAGCACCAGCCACAGCAGAAAAAGGCCTCTTCGGGCGTGAACGGAAAAAAATCGACTTTTGCGAGGGCTTACCTCAGAAATGTTACTCCCCCGGCTCCCCCGACCCAGTCCCCCATTGAACTGGCAACCAAGAAGCTCGATTCGGCGGATATTTTCGATTTCGAGGTTTCCAGTGATGTCGAGGAGGTTCCCGCTATCCCCGTGCGGAAAGGTAGTCGGGGGTTGATGAAGAATAAGAGGAAACCGGTTATTACTAGGCCCACTGTGGTGGCGGGCCCTGGCACTCCTTCCACTGAGAGCGATATTCCGGAGGCGAAGATTGCTGCTTCGAAGAAGCGCTCCTACAAGAAGGGCGGGGGGGTTACTGTGCCGGAACCTAAGAGGAGAAAGTCACTCAAGGGTTCTGATGATGAGATGGCCGTATCTGTTGCGAAGGGTAGGGGGGTGGTCTCGACCGCTTTGCCGAAAGGGAAGCAAGATCTCAAGGGCGACAAGATAACTTCGACTGCTAAGGTTACGAAGAACTCTACTGTCTTTAAAGTAATCAAGCACCCCGCCGCATTTGAGGTCTCAATTCCATATACTCTCGACGGGCAACCTTCAACGAAGCCGGTGCTCTCCAAAAGCATTGTCAAGTCCGAGGCACAATCTCTTACAGGGCAGGAACAGGAGAAGAGGTTGAAGCCTCTCACTAAACCGAAATCGGCCCCCGATCTTGTTGCGGAGAAGGGCGCCGCGCGTGAGAAAGCGCAGAAGCCCCCTCCCAGGAATACCGCGGGAAAGGAAACTACGAAAAAGTCCGGCAGGGTCACCCTCAAAACTGTCGCAGCTTCGCGTGCACAAAAGACGGTTCCGGTAATGCTACCTAGCTTGAAAACTAAGCATGCTTCCCCGGAGCCGCCTATACCTGCCCACGAAGGGCTAGTTGGTCCCAACACAAGTGCTCCTGCTGATAAGAAGGCTGGGAAAAAGGGTAAAACCAAGGCTGCTCCAAGGGGAACCAAACGACTTAGCGAAGAGCTCTCTGACGGTGATGAATTTGATATCCCCTTAATTGCGGAGCTCCGACCTGTCCGTCGTCGTCGGTTGATCGATACTCTCGGGGGCGGCACCCGTGGATCGAGAGCCGGAACAAGGTCAACTTCAGTTACCAGTGATTCCAGCGCGGATTGCAATTCTTTTACTCAGGATGCGCAATACCCACAGTTCCCACAGCTTCCGGAATCTCAGAACGGCCCGTCTCAGGCGCAGGACTTGTTCCAATTCGGATCTCAGGGCCAAAAACCGCCTGCCCTGAAGCCTACCTATAGCACCGGTAGGATTGGGCCTAAGGTTACTTATGCGCAGCAGAGATCTTTCAAGGCCGACGAGAACATGTCTGAGCAGAACCTATTTGGGATACCACTCATGATGATGCCTTCTCCATACTCGGGGAAGAAGGATATCGCCTTTGACGAAGGGCTGGAGGAAGAGCCTCTTGCCACTAATAAAGGGATGATGAGGAACATTCATGAGCTTCGTGAGGCTGGTAGTAACAATCGCTTCCTGGACGATGTTGAGGACTTTTTTAGCGATATTGAAGGGAAGAACGTGCCTCTAGGAACTAAACGCTCTGGGTATGATTGTTTATCGCATGGTATTGAGCCGAGTAAGGTTAATGTGATTGTTTAGGTATGTCGGGCTTGCCTGCAAAATGGTAGACAAGACGTTTGTTCGCAACTTTAGAGCCAACAACTTTGATGCACGCCTCTTGAAGCGTGTTGCTAAGCAGACTGATGAGGTAGCATCTCTTCTGTTCGGAATTGATCGGGATAGTTGCTAATCTCCTATCCGTTTCGTTTTTTTCTTTGTTTTTCTTTTCTTTTTAGGTTATCTGCTTTGCACTAGCATTTATGATTGCCCGCCTGCTCCAGAAAGATTCTACTCTCCAGTTGCTTGCGGAAATACACACCAATGGAGCTCTAGATATGCTAGTCCGCATGCTTGACTTTGAGAGAGACATCAAGATGGTTTCTAAGGATAAAAAGACAAACATGTCGAAAGCTGCGCAAGAGATGGCTATGGATTTGCGCACGCTTGTCGATAAGTCTACGGTTTTTCCTCGGAGCAAGCCGACAGTTTATTCGGCCCAGATCATGGGATTGATGGTCCTAGAGATGGCTATCAGGAGCCTAAGAGTGGCTGGTATTCACGATCGTATCGTATCCTTGGATGTGCTGAGCGAACTTGTCTCGATGGTAAAGCCCTTTACTACTCCTGCCAAGTCTGGGAAAGCCCTGGACATGCTCGTCCTCGAGCTCCTTCTTTCCACTTTAGAGGCTTGGGCGTGTGGATTGGATGTTGAGATTGAAACGGCGTTTTCCAAAGACGAGCTCACAACTTTGACCGATGTTATTCCCACCATCATGTCCCAGGCCGTTACCGGGGACAACGGAGAGTTTCATGTCGGTGACTTTGACGTTAAGGATATCCTCTTGCTCACTCTCAGACTAAACATCAATATTACGAACGATAGAACAGAGACCTGCGATGCGCTCGCCTGTTCCGATCTCATCCCTATCTTGATTGAGATGATCCGCAGCAGATTTGGTATCCTTGATGGCCAACTCGAGGAGGTCCCGCGACTAGTCAACTTGGATTTACTCGTCCTTGGTCTTGGCCTTCTAAATAACTTTGCAGAAATGAGTATCCCAGGGAGGTGCTCTGTTCTCAGAAAGGACGAAACCGGCCTCCTCCTACTCGACATCTTGGTTAAACTATTTCTCGCTCGGTTCGCCAAGACTGAAGATGTATACTCCCCCTTTCCCTCACCAATTCAACATGCTGACAGTGATACAGGCCGATTCCTTGGAAGAATCACAATCAAACGTCGGCTTCGGATACCTTGCCATCCTCCTCGGCAATCTCTGCCAGGACACCGAAATCCGCATCGCAACCCGCAACCAGCTCCCTAACAAGAGCCTCAACATCTTGTACGAATCCATGGAGGTGTTTATCGCGCATCATCGCAAAGTCGACGAGCTCAAGGATGAGAATGATATTTTTTATCAGCTGGGCGAGGCTCATTGTGCGTTTACGGAGCGGTTGGAGAGGGTTGTTAGGAGGTTGAAGGAAGGGTATTAAATGTGATGGTTAAATGAATAACGGGGCGAACGAATTGGGGATCGGGGGGTGTATTTTTATCTTCTTTTTCTTTCTATCTTTGCTTTTCGATCCTGTTGTATTCATGCAACCCGAGGGGATTTCGGCGGTGGTGGATTCTTGTTTTTCCATCGTTTCCCACTTACCTCGCAATGGTGTATTTTCCTATCTCAGAGGGATGGGAGGTCATCCCTTTTCTCATTTCTTTTACATTCGTCGTCTTCCTATGGGGGTCCGGTATTTTTATTGGTTTTGGGTTCAGTTCGCACTGTCCCGCGCACTCACCGGACACGATACCTTCCCAGGCATCTCGGAAGCGGTCTTTTCGCGTTGGGCCCCCCCGCCTATCTCTTTCTCCTTCCCATGTCTAACTGGATGGGATTTGTATCTTACCAATACCCTGCCTGTCTTGTCTGTCCTGGTCTGCTCTGCTCCTTATTCTGGCGATTTCTCCATCTCCTTAGTTCGTGGGGTCTCTTTTTCTTTTTCTTTTTCTTTCTCCTTTCACGATCAACCCATGATATCGCCACGTGTGGAGCTGCCTTGCCTATCCGAGACACCACGGCGAGCCGAGTTTGGGCGCAGCGGGAGTGAATTAGACTTGGATTTTGCAGATGGGAATACAGCAGTAGTGGGGATTGGAGCGTGTGGCGTTTATTCTTTTTATGGTATTCACCTTATCGGTACCTTTACTCGTTTTGGGATAGCCATGTCGGTTTTACTGTATCTTTTGTTCTGGGGGGTATAGATATCCAGCACCAATCAAACATTTAGTTATTCGCCAGTCCACGGGCACCTAGGGCATGACATATTACGATGCGCAGCTACAAGTGCACGGCCAGATACAGGTATGGTATCAAAACCCCAGACACCTCCCGGCATGCGACCGAAAGGCGATTGACAATGGGACCTATCAAATCTCAAAAAGACTGAGAAATTTGAGGATATCTCGGGCTTAGCAGTATTCGGGGGGTAGACTATCGGGGTTATGATTTCCACCCGGAGCAGGATACCGGCAATGCACCGAACTCGAATTTCGCTTGTACTGTACAGACAGACACAAGACTCAGAACAGCCAAGCCACAGCGCGCGCACAGCAATTGCGCTCAAGTGCGAACATTCAACACGTAAAGCCAAACAAGCGATTGGCAAATCGACACAGCGACTGGCACCGAAATTCCGGTTGTGCTACCTTGCCGCACCGTATTCGTGCGCCTGTCGCACAGTTCCAATCCGTGCCCATCGGACCGGGTGGTTTGAATGTGGATGGTCCGAGTTCAGTTCAGTCCGATGCAGTTTTTTTTGGGAGCCGCTGGTAGCCTGTTTTGACCGCAATGGCGGTGGATGGATGTGTGGGTTCGCAGTTCGTGGCGGGTGGGGGGGGTAGGAGGATGAGAGAGACTGCGGCAAATGAGTGAGGGAGCTTTTGGCTCCTCACTGCTATCATGCTTTGCTTCTTTGATAGGGCCTGTTGAATGTATGATACGAGTACCGTACTGTATAATACGGTACTATGCTAGGTTACGGTGCGGTACCGGTACCGGTACCGTATTATAGCCGCCGTCGCTTCCACGATAGGATGTTTGGCGAGGTCTACGTACCGGTACGATACCGGTACATGTGTTTCGACGGTTACAAGCACTGTATTCGCGGTACCGATACCGATACCGTAGGTTAATGTATGATAGCTTCTGGGTGTGGGCTGGAGCGTCTTTTTTTTCTTTTTTTTCTTTTTTTTCTTCTTTCCTTTCTTTTTCCCCTTCTTTCCCGCCGAGAAAAGCAGAGAAGGAGGAAGGAAGGAAGGAAGGAAAAGTAGGCTGTCTTTTACCCTAACTGACTTGATTGACCTGACCTTCCTGCTTTGCTTTACTTTGCTTACCTCTTTCTTCTCACCTGTCCCTGTCTTCTCGCTCTTTGCCCTTCCTCTTGTTCTTCTCCTTCTTTTTACTCTCTCGCTCACCTTTTCTCCTCCTCCTCCTCCTCCTCCTCCTCCTCCTCCTCCTCCTCCCCTTCCCGTCTCCGCTGGTCCAGGAACCAGGCGCCAGCGACGTGGGCTTTTCTTCCCTCCCTCGCTACCTCCACTCTACCACCTGCAACCTTTCGGCCGTCCATACAAGTGCTCTCCCTCTTCCCACAATCCAACCAAACTCGACCCAACCACCCTCTTCCTCCCTCCCTCCGCACCCCCCCTCTCCCCCCAGCCCATCCATCACATCCCGCCAACCCGCTCCGTAGATCCGCTATACCCGCACCCATACCAGAACAATGCCTGCTCATCCCAAACAAAGAAAAATCGCCATCGTGGGCAGCAGAGCTGTCGGTACGTTTTTCCTTTCCATTCCCGAGGCTCAATCCGCCCCTGCATATGTCCTGTCTCCGCTGTTGGCTAAAGGGGACATGTGTGGATGTGTGCGTTATAGGCAAGTCTTCATTGACAGTGCAATTCGTCGAAAACCACTTTGTCGAGTCGTATTATCCTACCATTGAGAATACCTTCTCGAGGGTTATCAAGTACAAGGGTCAGGAGTATGCTACTGAGATTATAGATACCGCTGGCCAGGTAAGAGTTCTGTGACCACTATTTGCTTTTCCTCCCGTTTTATTTTCTTTTGTAAAATATGCGAATGGGCATGTACGTGAGTGACCCTTGACCCTGTCCATATGCTGATGTAAACCCGGAATGCAGGACGAGTACAGCATTCTCAACTCTCGCCATTCCATCGGGATCCATGGGTATATGCTCGTCTACTCGGTTGCCTCTCAACAGTCGTTTGAGATGGTCAAGATTATTAGAGACAAAGTTCTTACGCACCTCGTGCGTTATCCTTATCCGTATCCCGCTATCGCCACGAGAGGTGATTGGTTACTGAATGCTGGTTCCGTGTTGTGCTATAGGGCGCGGACTGGGTCCCCATCGTCGTGGTCGGAAACAAGTCGGATCTACACATCCAGAGGCAGGTCACAGCTGAGGAAGGGAAGGCTTTGACCCAACAGTGGAATTGTGCCTGGACCGAGGCCTCCGCTAGGCATAACGAAAATGTGGCCAAAGCATTTGAATTGATGATTGCCGAGGTTGAGAAGGCTCAAAACCCTTCGCAGGCCACAAATGGTGGTAAATGCATCATCATGTAACCGGTTCGCTTTTATCCCATTCTGCCCCGCTTACTATTTCCCTCGTTTTCCCTTTGTATTCTTACCTTTCCATTCATGTTGGGAATGCAGCTAACGTTGGGGGGATCCCTTCATAGCTGACCTGTCCATCTTGGTGCGGCTACAGAGCTCTTGTCGTTCCTGTGCTTCTGGTTATGCTGTTCTTTGGGCATCGGTGACGCGTTTGCTACTACATTTTCCCATCTCTTGGCTTTGGTTAGCGACGGAACTTGGGACTGTGCCGTTGGGTTCATGCTTTTCCTTTTCTCTCGCTTTTTCTTCTGGCTGGTTTCTTTTGTGCCCCTCTGGTGCTGACTGCCTAATTAAATATGGGGGACTCTTCCTTTCTTTTCTGCTGTTTATCACTTTTTCACTTTTTCACTTTTTCTTCTTTTTTTCACTTTTTTTTCTTTTCCTTTTCTTCTTTTGATACGGCATAACAGTACACGGATTTTAGAAACTCGAATAACAGGGGATAGGGGTTTAGGAGAATGGGAGTTTACGTGATGATGATGATGATGATGATGATGGTGACTATGTATAAATTTGGTTTCTTATATGGGTTTTGATTATTTTGTATTTTTCTTTTGGGATGTTTTATTCTACTTTTTTTGTATTTGGTTTTTGTATGCTTTTTGTGGGGCATTTCTCCTTTGGCTTTGGTATTATACTTTTCACTTTTTTTCCCCCTGCCCTAATGAAACTGAAGCCATATACACCCATATCGAAAGGGGGGGGGGGAAGACGATCTAATATCATACCACGAAGAATACTCGAGTAGCAGTTGTGATGCTTTGTCATGGGATGCCGGTACCGGTATTTGTTGCTCGCAGAATCGGTATTTCAAATCGCAGTCACCAAGACAGCCATCCACCCGTACTCGAGTATAGTAGGAGTAAAGCACGATTGTACCGGTAGATGACGCTCCATGCGGTACCATAATCTGGGCCACGGGGCTAAAGGCATGGAAGAGACGGTGAATGCATCTGTTAGGCACACAATGGACAGGTCAATTCGTGCGGAGCCATGAGCCTCTCTTCAGCACTGACACCTGCTAATGTATCATAGGGCAATTCGGGAAGGGTTGCTTGCGGGCCCCGATAATGACAATAATAATATCATTGCTGCCTGTACTGTACAGTACTATAGTTGTCATAATATTGTAGTATTATTATATCGCTGTCGCCATCACGGTGCTCGAGTACTGTACTCGTACCGGGTCTGAGCGGGGAGCTACGATACCGCCCTCAACCATTTCAGATTGAAGAATTATATAATGGAATCGTGATGAATGACACACGGTACGGTGCTCGTACTATCCAATGAACCGTTTTTCTGTTTTTTTTTGTTTTCCGTGAGCTTCGTGACAATCCGCATACCGTACTCGAGTATCACACCACGGAGCATGCTTTGTCACCCGCATTACCTATAGCAGAACGGTTGTTTGCTTCGCCATGCTCGACCTTCGGGGTTGCCATCTTCGCCTCCCTCACTCCCACAAAACCGCTCACCAGCCAGTCAACCAGCCGACCGACGCCTTTTTCCCTCTCACGCCCCTCTTCCTGTTCCCTCTGATTGAGCAAACGGAAGGAGAGTGTGTGAGAGTGAGAGTGAGAGTGAGAGTGAGAGAGAGTGTGTGAGAGCGAGAGAAAGGGAGGGAGAGCGTGCATCAAGTCAACCCACAGGGTCCACACTCGACTTGCAGGCCAACGCCGCTTGCCGCTACCTTACCACTCTTACCTATCCGCCTTCCTTACCCTACCCTATCCACCTACCTGCCTGCCTGCCCATACGACATCATACCTTTAGTTGCTTGCTCACTCGCTTTACCTCCCCACACCAGCACCTTCACCACTACGACCACCACCACCACCACCACCACCAACAACACGCGAAAACCCAATCCCACCGAGACGGGAAAAAGGGAGGCAGAGACCGTAAAAAAAAAAAAAATAAAGAGAGAGAGAGAAAGGGGGGGAAAGGGGAGTACTAATAGTGGCCAGATAAACCACTGCAACCTAAACAACAACAGCGATCCCGGTCCCACCTCCGATGACCAAGAGGGACTCTCCGGGGCCCTCAAGCTCCGAGCCGCCGCGGAAACGTCCACTGAACATCGACGCGAATGGCAAACCCAGGTTTCGTGGATGCGACAGCATCAAGGCTTACGAGATACTGGAGAAGCTTGGTGAGGGAACTTTTGGGTATGTTTGCTTGCTATTACTTGGAGAGGAAAGGGCGGGGGTGAAGGATGGTCGGATTGGGCTGGAAGGGAGAGAGGTAGTTTAGCGATAATAATGATGGGGCCTTCTTCTAGGGAAGTTCATAAGGCTCGACATAGATCTACCCACGCTCTAGTTGCTTTGAAGAAGATTTTGATGCATAATGCAAAGGAGGATGGGGTGAGTCTCTCTTTCTTCGTCTCGCTCCTTTCAATATTTTGTGCTCCAGCGGGCTCTCACGCCCGCCCGCCCGCCCGCTCGCTCATGTGTTGTCATTAAGCGGGGTGATTCGCTATGTGTTTTTTATGCGGGTTTTCTTTCTTCTTTCTTTTCTTTTTTTCTCCTCTTTCGCGGGGGCCTATCGGTTGCTAATGAGGTGTTTTCACTCTTTCTCACGAAAATATAGTTCCCGATTACCTCACTGCGCGAGATCAAGATTCTCAAGGCGCTTTCGCACAAGAATATTATACGATTAATGGAGATGGCGGTCGAACGTAAAAGTACGGGATTCATCCATTCACTCATGCGAAAACATTCTTCTCCTCCTCCTCCTCCTCCGCTAATCGCTACCGATTGCAATGGCTGACGTATCGATCCTTTTCCCTTTTGCGCTGTTGTTTTTGCAGAGGAGCGCGGACCGGCTACCAGAGGGACTCTTTACATGGTTTTTCCCTACATGCATCATGACTTGGCTGGCTTGCTGGAGAATCCGGATGTCAAATTCAGTGAGCCGCAGATTAAGTGCTATATGATTCAATTGTTGGAGGGGACAAGATACCTTCATCAGGTATTTATTTGGAATTTTTTCGCTCCATCTCCGATGGTCCCAAGATGGGCGTTGAGGGATCTAGGCTGACTCTTGGAATGGTTAGAATAACATCTTACATCGCGATATGAAAGGTTAGTTTGAAATGGATGGATCAGATCTTATTTTTTTTTCTTTTTCTCGCGGCTGTTCCTCCCGCGGGCCCAAGTTCTAACTCGGTTTTCGAACAACAGCGGCAAACTTGCTTATCGACAACAGAGGGATATTGCAAATTGCCGATTTCGGCTTAGCAAGGAAATTTGAGGAACCGGTCCCTGTGCCTGGCGGTGGCGGCGGTGTCGCCGATAGAGATTATACTAACTGTGTTGTTACTCGTTGGTATCGGCCACCGGAGTTGCTCCTGGGCGAGCGAAAGTACACTTCGGCGATCGATTTGTGGGGTGTTGGGTATGATCTTCGTCCCCCTCCCCCCCCCCAAATTGGCTCATTCCGAAGTGCCTAACGGTCGAGCCCCTTAGATGCGTTTTTGCGGAGATGTATAGAGGCAGACCGATACTCCAGGGGAATACCGACATCGATCAGGTGATTAAGATTTTCCAGCTCTGCGGGTCGCCTACACAGAAGAACATGCCCGGTTTCGATAGGTTGCCTGGTTGTGAGGGGGTGAAGTCGTTTGGTCCGTTTCAGCGAACGTTGGAGGCGCATTACAGTTCGTAAGGGTACCTAGGCCAGCCCTACTAGTGGTTGGGGCTAATTGTATGGCAGAATGGGTAGCGCGGGTGTATCGTTGTTGTCACAGCTTCTAAAGCTTGATCCTCAGAGGCGGATTAATGCGATGGATGCGCTTAAACATGAGTACTTTACCGCGGACCCCCTCCCGGCGAATCCTAGCGATCTGCCATCCTTCGAAGATAGTCACGAGCTTGATAGGAAAAAGTTTCGTCACCAGAAGGCGCATCTCCCACCCGCACCCGCAGGTGGCACAGTTGGCATTGGTCAGGATGGGGCCGGGGGGTGGAGTGGGAGGGCAGGGGAGTTACCATGGGCAAACGGCACCGGGGCAGGACCAAGTCGGGGGGGTCGCCCAAACAACGATCCATGGGCAAACGGTGGAGGTCAGCGTTACGGGCGCCAGCACGATAACAGGATGCTGCCCCATGACAGCCGGGTCCCGCCAGGGCACCGACCGGGTCCAGATCATCGACAATGGAGTCGTCCCGGGGGATTGGACCATCGCGAGTTGGGATTACCGCCCCGACCACCCCAGGCCGGGCACATGGACAGGGAGCCTAGGGGTCCCCCTCCCAGGGCCAATCGGGGTAACGGAGGCGGCAATGTCGATACATATATACCATCCTACGGAACCGGAGGTCCAGATGACCGTCGTGGTACCAACAGGAGTAGAGATTGGGACCGGGACAGAGGCGATAGGGACCGGGGCGACAGAGGCGATAGAGGTGATCGCAGGGATAGGGGACACGATCGAGGTTACAATGGGGGCGGGGGTGGAGGGCCTGGCGGTGGGGGTGGAGGTGGCATCCAGCGACGAAGTTCCAGTCGGGACCGTCACCGGGAGGAACCTGCCAGCAATATCTATCGCCGATAGCATACCACGCGCCGTTTGTCAATCTTCGTTTCTTTTTTTTACACACTCCTCCTTTTGTCACTTTTTTTTTTCTTTTTCCTTTTTCTCCCCCTTGTCGCTATTGCGTGCTTGCGGACACACGCAGGAGAGTTGGTAATCACTTGATATGGAAAGTGCGAGGAATAAGGCGGCTCGGAGGGTCTAGAATGCATCGCAATCCTGGGGGTTTTCTTTTTCTTTTTCTTTTTCTTTCTCTTCCTCCTTTTCCTCCCTTCCCTTCACTTCTTCGAAAAATCAATTGTCTTTTCCTCAAATATTTTTTCTTTTCTTCCCATCACTTTACTTTTTCTATTCCCTCATCTACAATTTCTTTTCACCTTTTTTCCACAATTGTCTGTGTTGAGCTGAGTTGAGTTGAGTGGGTGTTCTTCTCGTTGCTTGGAACCCGGGAACCTTCAATAAGATGTGGGGGTCTATATTTAGTCTGACTGGCTGGCATCGTCTGGGATGGGATGGGATAAGGTGCTTGGAGGTATTGCTACTATACAATAGTGCCGGACTAGCACACGTCCACCGGTGGTCTATTTATTTTCTCATTTGGCTTGCTTGCAGTGCTGTCAGATCAGGTGGTACAGTACTCTGATATGATATACTCGAGTACGTATAGTGCTCTACAATACCGAAATAACTTTACTGTAACGTCCTAGGCAGAGTAGGGGGGTCGTTGCTAAAGAATTGAAAGGAAATGGAAAAGAAATCGCGCTACAGTGGAGTTTTTTCATCATTTCCCTCCCCAATTCCTCTGGCCTGTCCCGTTTCGTGATGTATACTGTAGAGCCCAGTCCACCCTATCTCACTTCCTTCATCCATTCCTTTGGCCAGTCCACCTTGTCCTTTCGTTCATTGTGAGTGTCCTCAATCCAATACAACATACTAAATCGCAGCGGCCAAGCCTTGAGCACAATGCTGCAGGATGCTAACACTTGTATAGCTGGCAGGCAGTCACGGGGGATGGCGTGATACCCCATGAAGTCCTTCTTTTTTTTTTTTTTTTTTTTCCCCTTTCCTCCTTTTTACGTCCAGCCCTACTCGAGCACGGTTTGGATCATCGTTATTACCGCTTTGGGAAGTGGGTCTACTGCTTACTGGGCCAGGGTCGTCTTGCCGATTGCGGGTAGGAATACATTAGGAATACCGGTACTGTGCTACATTGACAAAGGATAGCACCCGCACTCCCATTCGTTGGTTGGTTGGCTAGGACGAAGGGAACCGGCATAAACAGCACCGGGTTGGATTGGATTCTGAGTGCAGGTGGGGTGGGATATGCATATATGGTACTACGGAGTTGAAGGAGAAAAGGTCACTCGAGGGCTTCCTCTTTCCTTCCTTCCTTCCTTCCTTACCCCCTTCCTACTGTATCTTCCTACCATACAAGTACATGCATGTTTGCGTGCCGGGTCGACCTGACATCACTGCCCGAGCTGGGGATGCTTAAAGGGGTTCGGCCCCCTTCCCTTCCACTTCCCTTCCCTTCCTCCCTTCCTCCCTCACTCACTTTCCGTCTAGGTCTATGATAGGAAGTTATTATCCGCTATCATACCAAGATAGCATAGAGGCACAATACCCTGCTCGTGCAACCCTGCTTTTCGAGCCCGTTTGCTAGCGCCATACTTCGTCCGCTCTTCGTTCGTTCGTTTAGGGCAATCCCGTACATACCAGGAGCCATAGACAGGCCACCTACTTACCGACAAACCGGGACCTCGGAGGAGCAGAACGAGTCATACAAGTACCGTAGAGCCGATATATACCCTCCAATACCCCTCCCCCAGCCATCAATTTCTCATAGATACTCAAGTGCAATCATATACAACTAGGACGATGGGAATAGTGACGGTAGAGCGACCACCGTCACCGCCCTCGCCGCCTTTCCCCACCAGAAATAGTCCAGTGGTGCTTCCACAAACCAACAATCCAAAGCTCCCATGGCTCGTGCAGAAGTTTGGTGGAACGAGTGTGGGGAAGTCGCCGCTGGGGGTTGTGGAGGCTGTCAAGTACGTTCCGCGTGCTTGCTCAACCCCCACCAGTTACAGGAGGAGTGGGCTAATCGGAAGCAGAAAGTATTTGCCAACAAACCGCGTGGCGGTAGTCTGCTCGGCAAGGAGTACGGAGAGCAAAGAGCTTGGTACGACCAATCGGTGAGTCACCTCCAGTTGAATTCTATCGGAATCAAGCCAATATATAAGCCAGGCTATTGCGGGCAGCGGAAGAAGCTGTAAACGTGGAGTCGACCGAGTGGGCGGATATTATCGACGGTATCCAGGAAGCGCACATCGCAGCGGCCAGGGATGTTATTAGGTCCCGAACCATGTCCGACGAATTCAGGGCGAAGCTGAAGAGGGAGTGTGAGGATTTGAAAGGGTTTTTGGGGGCTGCGCAGGTATCTCTATTAATTTAATTGTTCACTCATCTCCCTCATGCAATCGGTAGGGGATTGGAAGGTTGACGAAGGCGGGGATAGATTATCAGTGAAATCAGTCCCAAGTCGAAAGACGTTATCATCGGTGTTGGGGAAAAGTTGAGTTGCATGTTCATGACGGCGGTGTTGCGGGATCGGGTATGTCCATACCTTCCACCCCGGAGCAATAATGCGAGCTCTATAACTCAACCAACAAACTTGCATGCAGGGCATCGAGGCAGAATACATCTCACTGGAAAACATCCTCCCAGCCCACCACCCCTCCACATACACCACCAGCAGTAGAGCCCTAACCCCACCCTTCTGCGAAACCCTAACCACCCTGTTGGAATCCCGCATCCGCCTCCTCCCCGCCCACAAAGTCCCCGTAATAACAGGCTTCTTCTCACCCGTCCCCGGAAGTCTCCTGACTACCATCGGCCGCGGGTATACCGATCTGTGTGCAGCCCTCCTCAGTGTGTCGGTGAAAGCGCAGGAACTGCAGGTATGGAAAGAAGTTGACGGCATCTTCACCGCAGACCCACGGAAGGTCCCCGCGGCAAGATTAGTCCCCTTCGTCACGCCGGAGGAAGCTGCGGAATTGACGTACTACGGGAGCGAAGTCCTTCACCCATTAACCATGGAACAAGTAGTCGCCGTCGGGATCCCCGTCCGCATACTAAACGTCTGGAAACCAAGCGGTCCGGGGACCATCATCTGCGCCAAAAAGCCCACCAAGACCCTCCCCCTGACGTTAACACCCCCCGTCTCGGACGGCGAGGACGACGACGACGAATACCTCGAAGGAGAAGAGAAGGAGAAGAAACTCCCAACAGCAGTGGCAATGAAGAAAAACATCCACCTCCTCACTGTTCACTCCAATCGCAAGTCCCTCTCCCACGGCTTCCTCGCCAGTGTCTTCCAAATCCTCGACCAGCACCAACTAACCATCGACCTCATCAGCACTTCGGAAGTGCACGTATCACTAGCCCTGCTCAACACATCCCCGCACGCTATCGCCGCAGCGGTAGAAGCGCTGGAGACCTACGGTGCCGTCGACGCGCGCGGCGGACTGTGCATCGTATCGCTAGTTGGCCGTCACATGAAGCGCATGGTCGGTGTCGCCGGGCGGATGTTTGCCGCGCTAGCCGAGGCTGGGGTTAACGTTGAGATGATTTCCCAGGGCGCCAGCGAGATTGGCATCTCGTGCGTGGTCAGGGAGGAGGTTGCCGTCTGGGCTGTGAATGTTTTGCATGCGAGGTTATTTTAGTAGGGTTTTTTTCTCCCCCGCCGGGGAGGGGACGACGGGCTCTGTTTCGAACTTGGATACCCGGGGTGATTATTTCCCTCACTCGTATTGTGGGATTATTATTATTTATTATTTCTTCTTTATTCTTCTTCCTCTTCCCCTCTTTTGGGGGCTACCGGTACTATCTTTTTTTGACTGGTTTAGCCTGTATCAAGTCTGAAAGGTCAAAAGGTTTGGGGCAAAAAAAAAGGGGAGTTTTTTTTGAGTAATTTTGTCCTGTCATGTCAAGATTATACGACGCCAGAAATAAAGTATGATATCCTAGACAGCACCATACCGGTACCTCCCCCCCCTCTCGAGTTGAGCCCTCGTAAAGCGAGCAACCAATCATCACCCCATAAGCAACCACAGAGGTTCCACTGCCACCCGGAGAAGCAGAGAAGAGGAAGAAAAAAAAAAGAAAGAAAAAAGCTGTTTCAAACAAATGCCTCGGGGAAAGCCAAGCACCTGCACTTGTCACTTACCTCCCCGAAGCCTAATTACAGGCCCGGCACCGTAACGACATTACACAACATGACATGACATGACAATATGATGCGGATAAATCCCACAAACGTCGGCGATACAATCTCCTTTAGGCGTTCCCGAGAGCCGGCGCTCCGGGGCTTGATCGCCGTACCGATCGCTTGGGTAAAATGTCTCCGAGTGACTGACTTGGGTTCGCCCAGCATATGAATCATAAGATCTCGCTCGGTGGGGCGCCCCCGATCCCCCTATCTCATGTCTTGGGTCTGTCTCACTCTCCCTCACTCAATCACTCACTCACCCACTCACCCATTCATTCATTTCTCTCCTTTTCTGGGATAGACCGGACACCGCTCTAATAGCGCCCGCAGGGTCTCATCACCCTAGTGTACGAGTACAAGCGCAAAACAAACAAGGCACACAATCCCAAACTACCTTATAATTAAGATCATTTATTCCATTTTTGATGGAATTGCTCCAGAACACTAATTATCTAATTAGTTCGCCCAGAAAAGAATCCCAAACCTCATTGGTCCCTCAGACCCCTACTTGAAGACCTTGCCATCAGCCCAATCGAAGTTCTGTTCGTGACGAAACCAGTTAGTCAGATTACTATTTCAAATCCTTGCTATAAAAAAGACGCGTCACGTGAATGACATTACTAACCTTGCCATCTACGGTGACAGGACGCTCCCAGCTCCAGGTGTCCTCAACAAATTTTTTGTCGTCAGAGTCCTTAGGGTCGAGCTTAATATACTCGTAGCTCTCCCAGTCAGGTGCCTAGTGTATAAATTAGCATGGGGTCTGGCCCACGAGTTAGAAATCTAGCATGACTCACTACATCGAAAGCAGGGGGAGCCTCCTGTCCGCGGATAACAAAGGACCCGGTGATGGCGGAGTCCCCGGATACGCCATACACGCTGGCAGATCCGAAGATGTACTTACGGGAAGCCTCCAGGCGGTTGAAGAAGCCACTAAAAACCATCCCATTAGTATCCCGCCAAAATAAGTTTCCGGGGACAGAACCAACCCGATCAAGTTGCTAGACATGAAGACCTGAGTCAACTCGGGATTGTACTTGTAGTTGACCCTCCAGAGAGAGTACTCCTCCAGGTTGGCATTCTCCCAAAACCAGGCAAGGGCCTCAGGTGTTTCAGAGTTAGAGTACTTCCTCTTCCAATCGTCCAGAACGAAGGTAGATCTTCCCAAAGCCTCCAAGGGGTGCTTGGGCTTAGGAGCGGGCTTATCCTCCTCCTCCTCCTCCTCTTCGACCTTGGGCTTAGGGGCAGCCTTGGGAGCCTCTTTCTTTGGTTCCTGTTTCTTCGGCTCCTTCTTGGGAGGGGTGTACTTGACAGCCTCGTCAATGAATTCCAGTTTGCCAGCGACAGCGGTGTATATAGGCTGATTGTGAACCAGCTCGTACCAACGGGTGATACAGGGATACTCCCGACGGAACTCCTTGCCGAAGACCTGTGATTCCGAATTAGATGTTGAGCCGCTGGGATCCGGTCTGCGCCAAACTTACGTATTGGAATCCACGAGCAATAATTGAGGTAGCAAACAAATCAGCAAGTGTAAGCCTCTCGCCAACCAAGAAAGTCCGAGTGAGGAGGTGCTTCTCAAGGACACCAACAACCTTGAGAGTAGCAGCCTGAGCAGCATCAACGTTCTTCTTGTTGTATGGGTCACGCCCAATCAGGGGACGGAACCAGCCTCCAAGATTCGACAAAACCTCGCTATTGGCAAAGGACATCCATCTCAGAATCGACGCATAGTCTTGCTTAGTTTTTCCCAGCAGAGTGGTCTTCTCGTTCTGGGAGGCAACTGTAACAACACTTGTAAGCACAGCCCACAGCTATAGAGAGGGCGCCGCATCATAGGCAACGCGACAAATGAACTCCAGCCTTCCTCAGTGGACGCGGAGAAGCCATCCCCAAAACAGCACACCGGAAATATGCAGCACTCACGGTAAACGGCGATGGCAATGCACTCGGACAGAACGAATCCATCATCGCCCTGGAAGGTGGGAACCTTTCCAAGAAGGTTGACCTTCAGGTATTCCGCACTCACACCCTTAGCAGGCTCCTCGCGAACGATCTCGATTTCAAGTCCATTCTCCTTAGCGACAGCCAATAGTGCCGTGGTGCGAGGGTTTTGCTACGACATATATACACATTTTTATTTTTACCCCCAAATTAGCCAATGACTCAGTGAAGAAGGATGCATCAAGCAAAAAAAAAAAAAAAAAATTCACACGAACAAAGAACGGAGCAGAGAACGTCGGCTACTCACAGGATAAGTATAGATTTTTCCGAACGGCATTCTGTCTGAAACGATATGCAGTATGTGCGGAGGAAGAAAAAACAAAAACAATGAGATGGAGTGATCGTGTTGTCGACAGGTTTGCTTCAAGGAGAAATCTC